ACTGAACTTTGGCGGATTCACTTTATATTCCTCAGCCATCTTCTCTGCGTCCTCAGCCTTCTCCATCTCGATGAAGCACTGAGGACAAACATTTCAGACTGGTTTACACTGACACACACACAGAAGACAGCTTCCACCTTCAGGTTCAGTCCTGGTCTGTACCTCTCTCTTAATGCGGTTGAGGAAGTACTTCTTGATGTTCCCGAATGGTTCAGCAAGTTTCAGGATGGTGTCATCAGCGTATTTGCTGCTGGGGATCTGACCAATGTACACCACCCTGCTGGAGCCGCACTGAACGACAAAGCACAACAGGAACCAAGTCAAACTGAGCCGACCTGATTATCGGATCAGCTCGGGGAACAGAAAACAACCAGTCACCGAGAGCCGTGCAGAGACGGACTCAGCTGAGACCAAGTGCTGGGATGTGCGGCAGCAGTCCGACATATGTGAACTCAGTGATGATATTAAGAGGCATCTCAGTTGCCAAATATCTGCTACTTTTGGTGAAGACACTGTGGCCTACACCGACTCCGCTGGGGAGGATTTCAAAGTCAACAAAGATGGTTCTGTGGATTTGACATTTCTGACTAGAAGCTTTAATCCACTTTGTTTGTTGGACTATCTTGCATGTATAGTTGCTTTCGTCAATGAAAATTATGACTAAATATCGTCGTCAACGAACCTTTTGCATGACGAAAACGAGAAGAGACGCAACGAAAATGCTGGCCATGTGACGATGACTATAATTAAATGTATAATGCAATATTGTTGACAAAAAAAAGAGAATAAATGTGGTTCACAAAATAAAAACTATGCCAAAATGTCTATTTTCGTTGACCAAAATGAAATGAAATGTTATTTCGTCTTGTTTAGTCGTGTTATTATTATTATTATTATTATTTTGCAGTATTTCTGTTTCCTGTGTCTCGCTTCAGGGGCCGCATCAGGTCGCACTGCGCAGACGTAGGTGATGTCACTTCTTAACCACCACTCGCGGCATTATTTAGAAGACGTCAACAAACAAAGTTAAGTCTGACAGAGAAAGGGACTGAAAACTAAAATGACAGCTTCACCCAAAGACTAGACTAAAACTAAAATTAAAACAGGCTGCTTGCATGTTTTCCCCAACAAAAGGTTTTTAATGAGTTTTCCCTGATCCGGTTTGAGGGTTTAGGGACAGAGGGTCAAATGCTGTACAGGCCTGATACTGTGCTGCAGAAATTAAAAGTGACTTGACTCTCAGCTTGTTACTGTGCAAGATTTGAACATTTCTGACTGACCCTGATTTGTTTAATTTTTCTATGAACACAGGGTTCAGCATTTTTGTCTTAAAACTCAGGTATGAACCTGTGCATACAGGGTGAAATACAGAAAGGAGATGAAGCTGTAGCCAACCATTAGTTTGCCAGATATTTCATCAATTAATCAATGAGCTGGCCAGCACAGACATCTCCAAATGTCACAGTAGCGTCGGGCTGCACAGGTCCACCACAGGCTGATAACAGAGAACTGATTTCGTTAGTCCGGCTGAGGCAGCAGTGATGCTCACCTGGATGGTGGGGTAGGTCAAGGAGTGATTGACCCTGACAGGGCGACCACACACAGACGCCGTGACATTGCTGTTGTAAAACTTGGCCATGGCTCGAGCTTCTTCTTCTGTCTCAAACTGAAGGTACGCCTGATCAGAGACAGACAAGAAAATGAGTGTGATTCTAACTGTTCACAACACAAATATCTCAGCCATGTCGACAATGAACTAAGAGTTTGAAATAAAAGCAGTCAAACAATAACCACCCACTGTTTCAATCCACTGGGTGACTGGTACCAATTCCTTCATCAGGCTGGTCTTACCTGATGATTCATACAAACTGGGAAGATAAAACCACTAGACAGCTGAAAGGCTTCTGTCCACTTTGGTCCTCCACAGGCCACAAAACAACAGGAGGACACTTGCATGCACAATGACTGACGAGAGCTACGCTGCAATGTTCTGAGCTCCCTTCATTAAGCAAAGTCAGCTCTAAGCTGCTGCAGTCCAGCGTGAAAACCTGAAGCAACAGCTCCAGAGTACACAGGCTTAAAAGGCAACAACGTAAATTCAGTTTAAGTCACCGACAGTTGTGATGATCTGTAATCAATGAAAGGTGGCTCCATAAACACAGATAAAGAACAGTTTTATAGTTCTGTAAGTAAGAGATACGTAAATTAGTAACCCCTGAACGAGGCTGCAGCCAACATGGGTAGTCGCTGGAATCCTTCGATGGTCCAGCGCACATCCAACATACAGTGGGTACGGAAAGTATTCAGACCCCCTTAAATGTTTCACTCTTTGTTATATTGCAGCCATATGCTAAAATCATTTAAGTTCATTTTTTTCCTCATTAATGTACACACAGCACCCCATATTGAAGAAAAACACTGAATCTTTGACACTTTAGCAGATTTATTAAAGAAAAACTGAAATATCACATGGTCATAAGTATTCAGACCCTTTGCTCAGTATTTAGTAGAAGCACCTTTTGAGCTAATACAGCCATGAGTCTTTTTGGGAATGATGCAACAAGTTTTTCACACCTGCATTTGGGGATCCTCTGCCATTCCTCCTTGCAGATCCTCTCCAGTGCTGTCAGGTTGGATGGTAAACGTTGGTGGACAGCCATTTTCAGGTCTCTCATCACGCAAGATGCTGAGTGGAAAAAGTCAACTGCCGTCTACTTTCCGTACCCACTGTATGTCTAGTTTCTCACTGACAATCTGTCAATGCATTCCTTTAGACCAATGGTTTTCAACCGGTGGTCCTTGGCCCTCTGGTGGTCCGGAGAGACATTGCAGGCGTTCCCTGATCAATAATGTAGTTTCAATGTATGATTCACTATAAAAGGCATCCAGTTAGCAGCTGTGCACCGGTATAACGCAGCGTTGGACAGAAAGAAGGTGCTGCAACGGCCAATCGCAGCCATGCAGACGCATCCTCCTGCTGCGTTGTGGAGTCCAATCAACTTTAATCTGTTCCTCCCACTGGACTTCCTAACCAGATGTCAGCATTTCACCAGTACATAAGGCGAATCTGCCCCAACACAGCCCCCTGTGGTGGTGGGGTCTGTGTGGATCCAGATAAACCTCTAAACCTTTAAATAGGCCTTTAAATAAAACAGGACAACCTGAAGTCTGACATACCTCAGGTCTCAAGTCCAGCACCAGGTGTTTAAGCACTTTCCCAAAAGGTTTGGCGAGTGCCAGCAGCTCGTTGAGGAAGTTGTAGCCTCGCCTGAAGCCGACAATGTTGACAACCCTCATACCCTGAGGAAACAAGGAGGAAAGTAGATAACAGCAAACACATGGACGCCGGTTCTTATGCTTGTAGCACACCACTGGACATTTGATTGGTGTTGCTAAAAAACACTGCTACAGCACCAGCAACAACTACCCGTGTTTACTGTTCCCAGGTGCTTGAACGTGGGTTAGTACTAATGTGGTTGTGGTGGTGTGCTTTAATGGTAAATGGCGTCTTGCAGCCATGTTGGAATAAGTGCTCCTCTGGATTTGCATTTTGATTAGTGGTAGACTGACATGAGTTTTTCAATGGCTGCTGCTGATCCGAGCGGAGCCAACGGCCAATATCATGGGGTTTTTCTTTTTGCATCAGATAAATGTGCTGAACTTTAACACCAATGAAATATGAAAATATTTGAAAAAATGAGCCTCATCCATTTCCTACATTCTCCTTAATAAAAATTTTTAATAAAATGTCCACAAGTAGTTGAAAAACTAAAAAGGCAGCAGCCACAGATGTGTCTGAGGCATTTTATAGTGATTAGCCTCGTGAGCGCAGACATCCACTGATGACAATTACTGAAATAGAGACCCAAGTAATTTGGTCCATCGCTAATTCTATTGATCTAGATAAGAAATATAAAGGGTGCAAGGACCCTAAATGGTACAGATAAAGGAACATACCCCCTTCCTTGTGTTGTCTGCAGAGAAAAGGAGACAAACACAGAAGATCCATGTTAGTTTCATTTAAACATCAAGAACAGCATCATCTAAAAACATCATTATGAAAGAAAATGACCATCAGACATCAACACTGCAGGTGAAGACTCTGGGATGAAACAAAGGCTCTTGTGTCCGATCAAAAATGTAGAATCACCACTTAAATGCATTTTTAAATTCCTCTCATTCTGCAGTAAAACTCAGTCAGGTACCAATGGAGTCCAACTCTGTGTGTGCTTCGTCCTCGTCCTCCGCCAGCTCATCCAGCGTCACAAAGTCCTCCATGTTCTCCAGGAAGTTCTCATCAAACTGAAATAAAACGTACAAAACCATCACAAATGTGCATGTTTCTTCCTATTCAAAAAAACTTGACCTCACAAAATAAAGGAAAAGTAATCTGCTGCTAAGTTCCTTGATATGGTCAAAAGCTACAGACCAGCTACTGAAGGGACCCCTGTTGCGGTTTCCAAAATTAAGAATGAAGAAAAGACTGAATAAGCTTTTAAACCAATATGAGCAACAAGTGTTTTGAGTGGTGCCCACAAAAAGGAAATCTGAGCTCTACAATTCCAGCTGAGAAAGTCCATCTGCTGAGGAAGACCGTGTGATGTGACCACAAGCTGGTGTGTGTTTCATAGCTGCTGGACATCGACGGCGGTCTCGGGCACAGACCAATAAGCTAAACCAGGGTCTGGACCCACACACACTGCGGTGGCTACACCATCGGCTCCAGGTCTTACCATGTCTGCAGGCAGCTCTCCCTCCACTGCCTCTGAACTCTCTCCAAGTTCTGCATTCGCTTCATCTTTGTTCTTGTGCTCCTCAGTCGAAGCTTCTGCTTGTCCCTCTGACTCCGCCCCCTGCTGGACCTCACCTCCAGCCCCACCCACAGGTCCAGGTGCTTCATCACTGACATCAACCCCATCCGCAACCTGCAAACATTCCATACAGTCATTTGCACAAATTGTTTACAGGTTGCTGCTCTGTGTTTTTATCTTACTGCTCAGCGTTTCCTCACCTCCTCCTCCTCCCGTTGGACGTCTTCAGACTCCCCCACTGTCTCCATCACAGATTCAGTCCTCTCTGGCTCCTCCCCCTCTGCGTCTCCGTCAGTCGCCTGCTCATCCCTCCTCTTCCCCTCCTCCCCTCCATTCTCCCCCTTCATCACTCTGGAAGCCTCCTCTTCCTCCTCAGCTGCAGGTTTCTCTGAAGGCTTCACTTTGTTCTCTTCTTTCAACCTAGAGCCAGATGAAGCTTTGGACAGAGAGCTCTTGGAGCTGGAGGTGGTCTTGGTTCCAGAGCTGCATGAGGAGGTAGTGGTGGTGGTGGTGGTGTTTGCTCCACTGCTCCTTTGATTTCGAGCATCTCCACCAGACCCACCCTGTCTCCGGTTGACACTGAAACACAGGCAGAAATTTCACGGCTTGGTGTTGGACCAGATCTGAATCCTGTTCAAGTGTCAGACTAGACACAAATCATCTTTACATGGTAAACAGGTGACCACAGGTGTCTGGACAATGTGGTGAGTGCTGAAGCTCTGTACTCACTTCAGGGTCTTGTACTTGGTGCAGATGTTGAGGCGGATCAGTCTTCCTTTGATGGTGAGTGGGTTCATACTGTAATATTTGACCAGCATCTCTGCATCCTTTGGGCTTCCCAGCTGGACAAACGCCTGGACACAGACAGACAGTGGACAGATTCAGCAGCCTGTCAGAGCTCAACAGATGTTAACGCAATGCCAGTTTAACTGTACAGCACATTTTCATACACAAAGGTGAGGCATGTGGATTCTCACTGCTCTCAGTGTACTGCGATTCTGGCAAAACGAGGCCTCATTTGTCAATGGAAGGCAGACAAAAGAGTTTGCACTCTCGGTCAGTTTACCTGATCTGTTAGGAAGAGGTGTTTCTCCACGGTGCCGAAACGTTCAGCAATGGTCAGGAGCTCCTTCTTCTTCTCATTCTCTCTGGGCAGGTTAGAGAAGAAAACCACCTGGCTGCCAAAAC